ATTTCAATATAGTCCAGTCGAACACATAGTCCAACTGATAACCTGCTCCGGATATCATATTCATCAAGAAGAAAACATTATAAACTATTAAAATCAGCTTCAAGGATATTATATTGACTATAAAATGGAATAAACTGAAAAGAAGATAGATATGGCAATGTAAACATCCCTACATATATTTACCTTCTCGAATAAAGAGCTCGTGGAAAAGTCTCCTCAAGTACATATAATCAGGCTTGTCCTCAAATCGTAATGATCGACAATAATGGAAATATGATATGAACTCCGATGGATAAGATTTACAAAGAACCTGTTAGAAAATGCAAAATGCTGTCATTCGAAAAATCTTTGCACAAAAAAAAATTCCTACAACTGATGCCAGGATAAACAAGGTATACTTCTACGGGTGTAAGCATCTTCTTCTCACTAATTTTGTCATATTTTTGTTTTTTAGTGCCAGCTTTCAGGCCCTGCCAAGGGAGGCTAAGATGGAAAAATCAAATGTGATTAGTCAGTCAGTTATGCAAGAGAGAGGAGAAAGAACAGTAGAAAAATCTAAGGTAAAGTTCTTATGCCTAACCTTCCCCTGAGGAAGTACATAAGAACATAACCAAGAGATTCCAGATCATCCCTTCTGCTTTGTTCTGAAATAGGTAATCAGAGGAATAGGAAAAGTCAAAAAAGCACTAGTATGCCTTTGTAATTGTTTTAGCTCTTGTCAATAGTTTGATATGAGTTATCATGAAGCAATACGAGTATCTTCAGTCATTAGTGGCAACCATAATGTTCACTCACCAACTCCAAGATGGGTGTTTACGCTTGCATAACGAGCTGTGCCAGTGAGATTTTTATTTTCCCTACAAATAAGGAAAAAGGTCAATGAAGTAATAAAGATGAATATTGATAGCTGAAAATTAATGCAGATGTCATCTGAGATATTTAAATGTGCATGAAGAAAAAAGAGAACTTATATTTCATACCTCAAATGCATAATTGACAATGTTGTTTTGAGTTGATGGTGAAATGAAAATTTATCATTTCACGCTTTATATGGCAAGAAAACCATGTATCATCACTTGGATAAGAGTAGCATATAGAAGAAACAGTATAGTTCAAAAAGAATATCCCCATCACCATTTGGTTTTAAAATAGTCTCTAGGACTGGACATGTGCTCACCTGCTCCTAGAAACTACTACTTCTGACTCTGCTCTAAAGTCAAGTAAACAAAACGAGAAGAGTGCAACAATGTTCAGCAGCAGGAAGATCAGTTGGTTGGATACCCAGTCAGCAGGGAGTCAAAGTGGAATGCCTTGTGTATAAATAGTTTAAAAAGGATTAATTAAGTTCTTACGCGATTTATCTATGCGAGGTGAGATATATGCTTCAAGACAAAACCAATGACATAATTCAAAAAAAAAATAAAAATAAAAAACTACAAACAATGTCATAATAAATCATAAATCATCTTAAAAATCCATAACAAAACAAACTAACACATTTACAGACAAACAAAAAATAGATTAATTAAGTAGCAAACAATAAGTTCTTAAATTAGTAATCATGAAACAAAATTGTAATATATAAATAAAAGAAGCAACTTAGAAATTCTTCTATCATAACCATTAATAGAATCTTTAAGGGAATCATCAATATCATGCTTCTCATCACCTATGTTACTCGGAAGTACAGATGACACGACAAGTATAATGGGTATCGGATCCTTTATATTATAAGGGTATCCTTTATATTGTCTTTGTTATGTTGGTGTTAAATTTACATTGATTTCTAAGTTGCATCTTACATTTCACGACTTGAAATGACAATCAGATTTAGAATTACAATTTGCAATTTAATTTATTTTAAATTGACAGGTAAACATATTATCACAAAAAATGCATCTATAATCATCTGTATATAAATTTCTACAAAAAATTTAGGTTCATAGAGTGTATCCATGTACTGTGTCTAAACTTTGGATCCTTTATAATTATATCCCCATATCCTAAATTAAAGAGAAAAATTTGACTCTTGATGTACCCATAATGAACACCTGCCCAAGCAACATTGCTCATTACCATGAATTTCTTCTCATACTTCATCACAGTCCTTCACTAGCAATCACGTATTCTCTTCCCGTCTCCCCACAATAGGCAAAAAAAGGAAAGAAAAAAAAAAGATATAAATAAACCCCGTTAAACATTCTAGATTGTAAAGAAATAGTCCAAAGATTTGAGTACTACAATGTTCAAAAATGGAAAAACGCAACACAAATGGGAAAGCAACTTAATTTGCTTGAGGCTCAGCCTTGAGGTTTAAGTGTCACGAATGGTGCTTAAGGTGTAAGCTTTGAGGCATTTTATAGAAGTCTCACGTGAGGAGGGATTCAAGGCGTAAGACTAAAACAGCTATTTCAAACGTGCGTATATTTGCTCTCTGTGGCATAATGTACTATTTCTGAATTGCTTGCGATGTTGATTAAGAAAAGGAAAGTCTGCTCATTTCAAATGTTAGGAGAAAAATAATCTCAGATGATTTTTGGTGTTCCACTTATATAATTTGAAATGGTTGGTGAGAAAAAAAAATGATTAATCACCAATCGCTATACTTTACTAGCAATCATAATCGTATAAAATATCTTCATTAACCGATATTCTTAAACGTCATAAATGCACCATGTGATTCACTGTCCTCCTCTATCACATATGTACATCCTGAACCTAAAGAGAA